AATGTATGTTGCTCTTCTTCATTACTTGTACTCACCTTTTGGCTCTCATTCTGTGACTATAAGAAGCCATATTTTTCTTTATTCTGTTCATAGGAATTGAGGCTGCTTCCATTTTTTTTCCCTCCATTTTTTGCAAATAATGCTACAATAAACACTTTTTAGCCACGCCTCCTTCTTTGTGCATCTGCAAATGATCTAGAAGTAAATCATTGGCACTGTAGAGTAACAACATCTTCAGTTTACTAAATATTTTCAAAGCATCTCTAGAATGTCTGGGAAAATTTCCTGTTTCAGGAATCTGATATGCTTGAGAACCTGAAAATTATCTCAATGCGTAACACCTAGAAACACTTAATGAACTATAAGAAGCAACCTTTTAAATATATAATGAAAGTTCAAGAAAGCGATGAAACCCCTAGGGTTCAGAAATGTTACACACACACACACACAAAATGAAGAGAACATGAAAATCTAAATCCATAGCTGACTATGGGGATTTTCTAAAACACAGATTCAAAGGTATGGGTCCCCAGGGAAGTAAGAGTCTACAGAATGCTTGGGGGGGGGGGGAGTGGCCTGTGCCCATACTTCAAAAGTTAAAGCTAAAACACCAAGCCAGCATTAAAAAAAAATCTTGCAATACTCAAGCTCAAAGTTAGACAAGACTACCCTGACACTTACAAAACCTGATTTTTTTCCTTCTATTTTTCTTTTTCTTTTGCAACACTGGGGATGGATGAAGCTTGCGGGGCAATCACTCTTAGACACATCCCCAGGTCCCCTCTGATCTTCCATCTCTCTTCACCCACTAGGAGCTCCCTCCTTTCCAGGGTCCTCCAGCGCCCACCTTGGCTCCTGAGGGCTGGAGTGTGCAGAGGTCTTGATGCTTCAGCTGGCAACTCTTGGGGGCTGACCTGAGCCCCCTTCCCGGTCCCATGGCTGGGATTGAGCCTAACACCCAGCAGTGAGCTTCCTCCACCCCACCACATCCCTGCCCCATTTCTTCCAAACCCTATTCATGGTGGCAGGATGGACGTTGTGCTGGAAAAGTTTTGGGGATTAGGGCCCTTGACAGTAGCTTGGTGATGAGATTAGAAGATTTTGGGGTTACATTAACCAGGGTGAGCCTGCCTCTGTGTGCCAGCTGCTGCCTCAGCACCCCAAGACTTTTCTCATGAATGGAAGTCAACAGGTTCAACAAGCAGCAAGATTAGGTCTATGCAACTTCAGAAGAAAGCTAATAACAGGTTTAAAAGGAAGCATAAATAACCAAATTTTAAAAAATACCAGAAACGGGGCGTGGTGGCACATACCTGTAATCCCAGCACTCGGAAGGCTGAGGCAGACAGATCATTGCAAGTTCAAGACCAACCTGGACTGCAAAGTGAGCCTAAGGCCAGCCTGAACTGCACAGTAAGACCCTGTCTCAAAAAGACCCTCCCCCCCCAAAAATACCCCAAGACTCTATGTGTGTTTAAAAAAGATAGGCTTTCTAGAAATGCAAACTAGGAACTCCAAGGCCGGAAGCACAGTGGGTGGGTTATGGGGCTGGGTGGCAGTCAACCCCTCCCTCCTGCCCGTGGCACTCAGTTCCTGTTTCTCCACATCTTTGCCAATATCTGAGGGGGGTGCAAACTCTGCCCAGGTAGGCACACTGCAGGCTGCCTTGCATCTTTACAGAACTCAGCTCATCCAAGCCCACAGCTTCCCTCTGCTGCTCTGCTGGGTTCAGAATAACAGATACAGGAAAATACAGAAAAACTTTACACCTCGTCCCCTCCCTTCCCTGCCTGGTCTAGTTTTAGAGGAGGGCTCCCTGTAGCGCTCTGTGACCTAGTTGTCCCTCTCTCCTGCTTCCCCGTCCTGCACCTTCTTCCCCAGCAGCTCCAGCAGGCACATTTCCTGCTTCTGGTCTTAAGTCTGCTAATCTCCAGATTCTCTGACCGCTCAGTCTGCATCCATTTCAGCTCCACATTCCCACACCCCTCCTCCCTGCAGCTCGAGGTCCACCCTGCCTCACCATTGCTCTTCCTGTCAGCCAGAATTCAGCCAATGCCGCAAAGGCTACCAATATGCAGTAACCGCTGAGACCCAGACAGCCAAGAGTGATGTTCGGTACCCGCAGCAAGTCACGGTCTCCCAAGCCTAAAAGTAGACACACAGCCCAGCAGAGACTGAGGACCCTGCAGGGTATGAGGTGCAGACACCTGGAGCAGGGGCTCCAGAGCAATCTTTCTGAGAGCCATGACCTAGCTGGAGACCTTCGAAGGTCACTTAGCCTCTCTGGGCTGGTTTTCTCATAGGGGCAGACAGGGATAATAGTATCCACCTTGTAATGCTGTTCTGAGAATTCAACATACGAGGACATGTACTGTTTCAATCAGTGTGACAGATCAGAAGCACTGTGTACGTTAGCCCAGGAAACACAAAATGGTAACACAAAATGACCTTCACATTCACTGAGATAAGAGATACTATATTGTCACAACTCGCAACTTCAGTTATGCAAGTTTAGTTCCTCCTAGTCTTTCCTTCTCACTTTGTTCAGTAATGATAAGGACCTCACACCCCTGATGCATCTCCCGGGTTTCTTTATCCCCAGCCCCGGCACAGTTACAGACTCACGGCTCCTACTTCATGCCCATCAGCGCTTCCTCCTGCAAACCGCACTGCCCTGGCAGCTAATAAACCCCGCTTTGGGATCCGGGAAGTTGCTGTCAGTTTCCTGATAACCTGGAGCCCATGTGGATGGGAAAATGGTGAGGAAGGGAGGTGGGAACACCTCAACCACAGCAGGCATAGCCTTGACTTTGAACTTTCCGAGGATCCCACACTGGCCAAAATAAAATGATGACCATCTATTGGTCAAAATCCCAGAAAAGTTATTTTCTTATTGATCTCCTGGTGACTTGCAAGCAGATTATTTCACTCAATCCTGAATCACACTGTACAAAATCTATGTAAAAAGAAGCATTGACTCAGAGGGAATGACGCTGGTATCATACGGCGTTGCCTGTTGTTAATTGAGGCTTAAATTGGGATATGTTGGAGCCATTGAGGCTGAGTGCACAAGCAGGGCCGTGGCGTGGCCCTGGCATGATTAAACTGAGACTGAGGAGACTCCTCAAGGAGCAAGAGAGGCCACAGCTGAGGCACCTGGAGACTTTCTAGATAGTTTTCCTTAATTAGCATCATCTGTTGCCTAGAACCCCTCCCAAGATCCTGCTCAGGTTTCCTCCATTGTCCACCCAGCTCCTTGCTTGTTCTGATTAAACACAGGCTGCCTAGTGTCAGTCAGCTGGCAGAGTCATGAGCTCTGCCAAGGATTTCACTCCTTCTGCAGCCCTAAAGACCATGCCGCTTGTCTCATTCCTTTGAGCCTTCACTGTGCACCCATTTGGGGGGTTGGGGATCTAGGCACAGACCCCAGTAGGGATATATCTCAGACTTTGCTTGCAAGAAAGAGTCAGGCTATTCAGTAGATTCTTCTACCAAACATCCCCCAGATATTAAGAATTCAAGGAAACACAAATGTGATACTGTAAACTAACCTGAAGTCTTAGTCACCATTAGTTCAAAAAGATAATGCACACACTAATCAGTTAAAGATTAGGCCTCAGTTTAGAGCAGCCTTGACTAATGTGATGCATGGTAGTAAGCTCTGGTTAAACAGCTTTGCACTTTTTCCCACGCGTTGACAATCCAGGCAGCATATTGGAATAAACAGATTTCATCTTTGACTTCTCCTGACATTCTAACACCAACTGTTTTCAGGAACTCCTCAGTTTTCAGTGACAAGCCTCATAGCCATTCTATAGGTGATTTTAGGATTTATCACCTATCATTGAGTTCTTAATTTATGCAGAGCCTTTACAAGGGTCTGAAGAAATCGAAGACGAACCAAGGAAAATTTTCACTGGAGGTGCCCACAGCCCCCTCAGGCTCTAAAACTTTGTGCATAGACCAGGACAGCGCCTTCCCAACTCAGTTTGCACACGAATCCCCCTTGCAGCCAAGCTTCGTTCCAGAAGGAATGGCTTGCCTTCCTTCGCCTGCCAGTTTCCTCTGCAGAGGCCTGGGAGAAGCAAGCAACTGGTGGACGGGGAGGTAGAGGCCAACACATCTGTCATCACATCTGTAAGGTCGTGCCTGGGGTCCTCCATCCTATTTAAAGTACTGTAGCTGGAGAAATTCCCTTCTGCTCCCACACCATCTAGCTACACTAGCCGCCTGAGGTACCCCTTGGTAGAAACCGAGGCAGCCTGTTTATTGTTTACTGACCCAGGGCCAGCAAACAAAAGCTGGAAAGGCAACTCTCCTGGAAGGGCTTTGCATGCTGCAGCAACTGTCAAGAGAACAAACCTGTTGCTGCTTTCAGCCTAAAATAATGTCTTTTCCAATACCTCTAATTGGTCACACTCCTATTCCTTTGTCAAGTAAACTTTCCAACTGCAACAACCAATGCAAAGAAAATATCCCTCCAAGTAACAAGATCAAAAGCAAAGGAAAGGACTTTCTCTAGATGCTAGACAGTGGATGGCTGGTGACTCCTCTGTTAATTTCCTGTTTACGTTTTTTAAACTCGTGCATTCCAGTGGAGATTTCTGTACCCCTGCTTCCAGAGTGTCTGGAACCGGCAGCCCTCTCGGCCCACACTGGTGAGAGCAAAACGCATCATGTCTGGTCCTAATCGACTGAAAAGTCCTTTTCCGCGAACTGCCAAAAAGTTTATGGTTCTCTTAATGTGCCCATTAAAGTTAGTAAATTACAGGGATCCACACATCTTAGAAGACAAAGATTGCAGGCGGTTTAAATGCAGGGCGAGGACCGTAGCAGGGACAGCCGAGCCCTCCCTCCACCCCTCCAAGAGGCAGTTTTAATTTCCTCCACTTCCCGAGAAAGAATCGGAGTTTCTGGGGTGCCCCTCCCCTGCAAAGCCCCGGAACCGCGGCGCCCCCGGCTCTGGGGTCCTGCCCGGCGGGCGGCGGGAGGTCGCTTACCCTGGTGGGCTGCGAGGCCCAACGCGAGGCCCAGGACCCCGAGGCAGGCGGCGGCGTGCGGGGCGCTCATGTCAGCTCCCGGGGGTGTCCTGCGCTCCCTCCGGCCTCCACCACCGCGCACATTTCCTGTTTCCTGCTCGTTTGGGTCGGTGCTCACTTGAAGGAGAGGTGTTTGCCTGTTTTTAGGAAGTGATGTAACTGCAGGAGCCTGTCAGACCAGCAAGGATTACAAAAGAGAAGTTGCTCGCCCAGCTCTGATTGAGTTAGCCAAGCCTCCCCAGCCCCGCGGAGTGTCAGCCTCGCTCTCGCCAAATCGCTCCTTGGACAACGGGTCTGCCCTTCTGATGTCACCCGAGGCCTGGGACCACGGGGGTCTTGGCTTCGCGGGTTTGCACACACCCCAGGGGGGGGCCTGGGCGCCTGGGACAGCGCTGTCCGCAGACCGCCCCGTGCGAGTGGAAACGCGCTTCGCGGGCGCTGTCCAGAGCAGTACCCGCCCGCACACCGGCAGCGGAGCCCTTGAAAGGTGCCTAACGAAAACCGAATTTTTACTTCATTCTTTAAAAATTAACTTTCGAAAAAGATTAAAAAAAAAAAAACTGAAAAAATTAACTTTCAGCAGCTGCCAGGACCAGTGGCCGCCAGCTTGGATAGCCCAGACTCAGACAGCAGGGACAGCTATGTCCTTAGAAAGCCACCGGACACTTTTCTCCAGCGCGGTCTCTCCCCTCCCTGGGCCCCAAGCACACTGACCCTGGAGGTCAAGGACAACCTCCCCCCTCTCCCACACACACACACACACACACACACACACACACACACACACGCACCCCTGTCTCAAGGTGGAGCTCTTCACCCTAGAGAGGGCTGATCTCACCACCAATCGGTTTCCAAAGCAAAACATGCCAGGCAGGCCAGGTAGGGGTGGTCTCTGTGTCACCTGTCTTCTTTCTTGTGTGACAATACATTTCTCAGAGGTTGTTAAGGAGCAAAACTGGACTGGACGGAAGTAGAATTCAGGTGGAAAGCTACGCATGGAAGCTGAGCAGCAGGGAGGGGTCCGCTGAGGCCACGATGCAGAGGGAGTGTGCATGTCCAGTGCGCTGGCTGCTGGAACTCTGTCCCTGGGCCCTGGTTCGAGGACCTGACCGCACTACTGACTGCAGTTTCCTAATTGCTTTTGCATTTGCCCAGGACAGACTGACAGAGGGACCCCTAGACACTGTCTGAGTCGCCACTTTGCCACCACAGCCATCTGCTTGGTGGCTGAAGTCCCCAGCCCCCATGCACCATGCATGAACTTCCTTGCTGCTCCTGGTTATCATTAGTCACACTTGCCTTGGTCCTTATCTATGAGAAATAGATTGGTGAGTCATGTAATGATCGGTTACTCAGACTAACAGTATGCATTTGAGTGCTTCAGACTGGCAATGGAGTTCACTCTTGATGGAGGATGATTTTGTGCACATAAGGGTGCTGTAGGGAGCAGCAGAAGGAGATGGATGCCTTTAAGACTGGGTGATTGATTTGGAAACAACGCAGAAAGAGCTCTTCAGACTCTCACCAGGCGTGTGATGAGCTCAACTCCTAGAGTTGAGTGGGTGGCAATTACTCCAGTGGAACCAGAGTGGTTCCCCAGCTGTAACACACATGTGCAAGAAAGAAAGCCCAGGATCGAGCACTTCCATGCTGTTAAAAGAGTCACTGGCTCCCAGGCTCAGGGCAAGCATTTGGCGAGGGCAACTCCTTTCACCTTAAAACTGCAACTAGGGTTAGGGTGCTGCAGTTCAGTGCCAGGCTAGACCACAGTGGACCTTCTCGCACAGTCTGAGCCCCAGGCATGGCCAAACAGCTCCCCAAAGTTTCACCAAGTGGGCTCCACATTGCTTTTGGGCAGCTTGACGGTAAATCAGAGCCACATACTAACTACAGCGAGGGAAGCTGCAAAGAAACCTCGCACAAACATGTTATTTTCTTTCAACCCAGGTGCTTAAAGGTCTTTTCTTAAGAGCCTGATCATGATACACTTTATCTGAAGGGGAAGAAAACGACCATCATTGATGAGAAAATGGTGACAGCACAGAGATCCATCCCCTGCAGCTCAAATCACAGGGAGATGGTGTGGGAGAGAAAGGGCTGTTTACCCCATGGGTTTTAATGTCAGTAACTATTAACTGCAGCAAGTGGCAACCTGGGCTCAAATTAAACCTGATAGGCTCCAGTCAGGGCCCCAGGGCTGATCTTGAGACGCAGGAGCCTCCAAATGAATGGCAAGGCCGTGTATCGCCACCTTGGTGGCTGCAGATGGCTTTCCACGACAGGAAAGGAACTTGGTGCCCAGAAGGGCCCTGTGGCCTCCTCACACTACAGAAGTGACCCTCCAGCAATTCCTTCTCTTGCCCCCACCCCAGTCCATGGGCCATGAAAGAGGAGAGGCCCTGAGAACGCACATTCAGAAGCGAGTTTCTTTTTCTTCTGCATTAATAGGGATTGAACCTAGGGCCTCAGACAGGCTGGGCAAATGCACTACCAGTGACCCACAACCCCAGCCTTTTTCATTTTGAGACAAGGTCTTGTGAAATTGCTCTGGGCAGCGTCAAACCTGCAATTCTCCTGCCTCAGTCTCTCAGGCAGCTGGGTTTAGGGTCTGTACCATGTTACCTGGCACAGAAGTGAGATCTTAGGAGCACAAGCTCCCTTCCCACTGTTCCCTTTTCTGCCCTGACCTTGCCATTGCCACATACACACACGCACTCAGACACACATGCAGATGTACCCTGCCCCTCTCTCCCACGCCTTTGTGCATACCAGGGGAATAAAGGCAGATGGGAACGAGCCGGGTATTAATCCAGAGCAAGGAGTTGCCTCCCTCACATTATTTTTGGCAGAGACCCAAGAGCAGGGGGGGACCCGAAGGATAGCTTTCGGTGCCCGACGGTGACTGTGGGCAGAGAGAACTAGCTGCAAGTTCTGGTTGTTGGTGGCAGTGTGCCCCATATTTGGCCTCTCCCAAACTGGAAGTAGGATGAGGGAAGCCCACAGACAGAGATCTGACTTCCTGCTGGGCTTCCAGGAGAGGCTTTCGAAGCTGGCTGCTGCAGATCGGGGGTTCGAGTCCTGGTTTTTCTGTCTGACCACTCTCCGTGTCCGCATACACAGTCACACACTCACAAACCATGTAGGTGTACTCTACACTCAAACTCCCGCCCTGCCCTTCACAGGAACTTTCTGGGGCTCTTTTCCTGTCTAAGTGGTAGCTGGTGATTGCTGACTGCTCCTCAGTGTTTGATCTATGAGGCCAGGCCCTCAGATGGTGGTGGGCTCCTCGGAAGGGGCGGTCAGCTGTGCTTGGGGAGGCTAGGAAACCACAGGAAGAAGGTGGTGAAGGCCTGGAGAGAGACTGGGCGGGGCAGGGCAGGGCAGGGCAGGATAAGCTGGGGAGAAGGTGGAAGGAACCAGGATGTGCTGGGCGCTGCCACTGGGTGAAGCGCTGGCCACAATGTCACTGCCTGAGGTGGACATCAGAGGCCTGGTGCGGGACCCCAGGTCGCCCACCCCATATCCTGCGACCTCCCTTGGGCGAGGCCTTCTCTTTCTCTCCAGCATCTAGCAGAGGGCTTAGTGCTTTTTGAATGAACAAACAAGCAAGTAAGTGAAAAAAATTCCTACAATATTTTAAAGCTGTTTTGAGGCAGCACCGAGCTCTGGGTTCTTTGGGGAGCACATTAAACTGCAGTCCTGGGGCCACCTGCAAATGCCGAGCCAGAATCTGAGCAGAGGTCCGCAGTGTTGCATATTTTTATTTTTTCATGGTTTTTTACTTTTATTTTTGCCAGCATCAGATTTATTTAAATTTTTAACAAGTTAAATATTGTTAACCCAGAGTAACAGCCAGACCAACAGATCAAAATATAAGCACATAAAACTACAGCAAGGTGGAGTTTTAGATACATTGGCTGTCCTGGATTACAATACTTCTTTTCTCTACTTTTTTTATTGCCTGTTTTTTATTTTGCATTCTTATAATACATTTGGTTTCTCTGTAAAATAACCATGCAATATTTAAGTTAACATTATGATTTCAAGGTGCATCCATTTTCCTACAAATAACTTGATTATTCTTCCTCATGGCAGAGTAGTACTCTATTATGTGTAAATACTACATTTTCTTTATCCAATCATCTGCTGAGGGACGTATAAGCTGCTTTCAAGCAGCTTATAGGAATCGTGCTGCTATGAACATGGATGTGCATAGACCACTGTGATTTATCTTTAACTCTTACAGAAAGATACCTAGAAAGGGAAGCTGAATTAAATGCAATGTCTACTTTTAGTTTTCTGAGGAATCTCCACACTGATTTCCATAGTGGTTTTACCAGTTTACATTCCTGACAGAAATGAAGAAAGTTCCTTCCCCTATCGAACTCACAAACTCACGACCTCCCACTTGCCAAGCAGGCACTTATGCCTTATGCCACTGAGCTAAATCCCCAGCCCCCTTGATCTGATTTCTTGACATGAGCCATTCTTTCTGGAGTAAGATGAAATCTAAGTGTTCCTTTAATTTGCATTTCTCAAATGGCCAAAGGATGTTGGACATTTTTTTCATGTATTTATTGGCCATTCGTACTTCATTTGAGAACTGTCTTTCCCGGAATATTGCATTTTAAATGAAGTTTGAAGAGGTTTTTTTGTTTGTTGTAGTGCCAGGGACAGAGTCTAAGACCTGTACTGAGCTACATCTTCCATGCTTTTTTATTTTGAAAGGGAGACTTGCTGAGTCACCAAGTTGCCCAGGCTGGGCTCCAATTTGCCATCTTCTTGCCCCAGCTCCCCAGATTGCTAGCATTGTAGGAATGCACCACCATGCCTGGCTTTGATGAGATTTTTATACACGATAAAACTTGAGAACCACTGTTTTAGAGTTTTATTTTTTAGTTTCTAGGACAGTCTGTCCTTTTTATCGAACAGTAAAAATGAATGAAGGAATGGCTAGTGTGCTGCATTTTCCTTTTTTGCCTTGACTCCCAGGAAGCTTGGAACTGAAAGGTAAGGCTGGATCGGGGGACATCTGTTTGCTCAGATATCTCCACCACTCTGGGGGACATTTCTTTGCCTGGCCAATGCTAACTCATCTTTCAAGACTAAATCAGGAGAATAGCCAGGCATGGTGGTGGCACTCCTATAATCCCAGCACTCGGGAGGCTAAAGCAGGAGGATCATTGCAAGTTCAAGACCAGCCTGGGCTACAAGGTGAGCAGAAGGCCAGCCTGAACTGCATAGAGAGACCCTGTCTCAAAAAGAAAAAAGAAAGAAAAAACAGTAAGTCAGGCGACCTTATGAGAAGCCTACACAGTCACCTCTGGCCACTCACTCCTGCCCTTCCAGGCTGTGCCCTTCCTCCACCGTTGCCCTGGTAACGCCCATTGAAGCAGATCTGGTTGTAGTTCTCTCTTCCTCCAGCATCTGGGCTCCCTCCTCC